CCCTCGTGTACCTTCAGCACCTGGGGGCGTGCTCTTCGATTTTGACGGATGCAACCCCAATCCCCTTAGTAAGTCTCGTAGCAAGGACAAGAGGCGGAAGGACGACCGGATTAGAAGAGAGATAGCCAGATCAGGGGTCCCAATCACTACATGTGTCCAGAGATCAGAGACAGATGAGTCAGACTTGGAGCCCTGCTCTATGAGTGACATTGATCTTGGGGACTATTTTGACTGGGATACTCACAGAGATTGAGTTCGTGGACAGCGACAGGAGCACTGGAGACCAGCGAGCGGAGACGTCGAAGGGTGACATTGATGAGGATCGCACATCTTCTTGCACGATATCTTCTTGAGGGTGACTGGCTTCTACATGTCAGACAACCCTAGGTCTGAGACAGTTATTGGTCCCCCAAGAGGAGAGGGTCCGGTCCCATACCTCGGAGATGGTTATAGTCATTTGGTTGGGACGGACTTTGCTATGCAGGCTTATCGAAAGTCTCTTTACGGAGATCGCTTTCTCGAGGTTTCCTACATCTACTCCGATGGGAGAGGACGTATTGAGATATTGATTGGAGCTTCAGGCGATATCATTCTTGCGAAGGAGTTTTATCTCAGGAGTGTCGCAGACGAGGAGATGGCCAGATGCATGGCCTATATCTGCAAGATTGATCCACCAGCGCTTCTCGAGATCAGCTACGTGGTTCTAGAGTCGATAGCCACGCGAGTTCTCAATGACAAGGAGTTCCAGACGGCAGCACTCACTCACGAGGGGGTACCGCTTATTGTCATTGATTGAGGTTCTCACTTTTCAGTCACTATTGATGTATTACGGCATTATTATTTACTAGCGACTGCAGCCCTCCAATGGCTGCTCCCTGCATACTCTGTGTACTACTCTTCAGTCTCGTGTCTCTGGTTTCTGGTCTTCTCATTTTGTCAGTGTCAATTGTTCTATGATGCATGTTTGTTATTTGTCCTCCTTATTTTATACAGGTTACACTCAAGGCAGCTTGAAGGACTCCTGAATGATAGGGACTCCGGTGACCTTGGGTCTATCCTTTATACGGGGTCAGGTGCAGGCGATAAACCCGAACGCCTCACTCTAGGTCGTGTCGTCGCTGGCAGGAGGGATAACCCTGACTACTCGGCTGTATGACAAAGTGTGACTGCCTCTGAACACACCTTTATTTTTTATACCTATCAAAATGCCTGCGTGACAGCCTGCTAGTCCTCCAACCCACTGAGCTCGGTCCCGGGGAAGGACATCTCATCGGACCCTTGGAGGGGTGGGGGCGCGACAAAAATGGCGTCGTTGCCGGGGACTCAAAAATCTTGAGTTCCTGGGAGCGGACAATATTATGTGACTAGGCAGCAATCTAGTAGAAGGTCTGGCTCATGTCAGAAAAACTTTCGGCTAGAGAACCCCCGAGAGGAGGGGCCTCTTGCAAAAGTCTATCTGAAGTGATTAAGACCTGCAAGCAAGGGTTTGGAATTTGTTTTCTGGACCCTTCGCTTGAGAAGTCCATAAGTCAGAAACCAGATGATGACTGAAGAGTATAATGTCTTTGAAGCCCTAACTCGTGTCACCTACGGTGGTGCCTTCCCTTATATGTTTGTCAAATGCATTACTTGTGTGAAAAATACAACGACTGTGCATGTGCTTGTCTCTAGATTCCTTGACACTGATGATTATGATATTCGACCCTACATCCTAGAAGGGGCTGATCAGGACCCTAGTTTCTTTACCGACTGGGATGCCATAGTAGAGTGTGTCAAAGTCGAGAGGGATCAATCGAGACAACAAGGGATAGAAGTGAGTTGGAGCTTACTGCCTAGGATTTATGAAAGGATTCCTACCCCGCCAGTACCCAAAGGACTCTGCGACGGTAGGAACTGGCAGCCAATCATCAATGCAGCACTGAGGAGGCAAACCAAGTAGGTAGTCAATGTCAGCAATAACGAAAGCGATAGAGGCGCTGACAAGGATCACGGCTGGGGGTGCCTTCCCGTACGTCATTGAGAGGTGTGTGACTTGTGAGCATGACTCAGTGATCTTGTACGTCCTTGTAGCTCGGTTTCTTGATACGGATGACTATGATGTGAGGCCATGCGTATCTGCTGAGACAAAGAGAGGGATCGATTATGAGGCATGTTGGATAGCTGCTGCTGAGTATGATGGGCTGTTGCTGAGACAACGAGGGAAGAAAGTGACTTGGAGTGTCCTACCTAGAGAGTTTGAGAGATTCTCAAGTCCACCTGTGCCCGCTAGCTTCTGCGACGGGAAGGACTGAGGACCAATCCTCAACGCGGTACTTAGGGACCGAGTGTGGTGAGCCATGCCAAGAGATGTCTACATTCCTGATGACGGAGAGAGTTTCTGCTTCGAGGTCTATCTAGATGAGCAACGAGCGACTGTAATTGGGGTCGTGAGAGGATGCGACACTAGGCTAGGTAGGCGCGATGAGATTGGCATGGTAGAGCACTACCTTGAGCTTATGCGGGCGGCTGCTTTTAGAGCAATTTCGGATCAGACTAAGATTAGGCATCTGCTGGATTGCAAGAGTTCTGACGGCAGGAGAGTGATGCTGCATGCGAGAGATGAGACCATCCTATCTTGGCAGCGTCCTGCAGACAGTCTGTCTAGAGGCGCTAGAAGCAGCCCAAGGCAATGATATTGGAGTGTGAAAACTCTACGGCAATTGCGACTGTGACCATTGGTAGAGGATGGTTACGTAAAGTAACTGAGACTGACAGTCCGTTCGAGATATTGAGACACGACGTCTGTAAGGAAGGGCGTTTAGTATTCTATGTTCCAGTGGTCAGATTTCTCAAGACCAACGAGCTTGACGTGAGGATTTATGCTCAAGAAGGAATAAAAGAGGAAGAGGGTTATTTAGAGTGTCTGAGGAGAGTGTACATTCATCTCTCGAAGGTAAGGGAGCTACTTCGAAGTTTGGATGAGAAAGTGACTTGGGGGAAACGAGTAAGGCAAGAGAGCATGAGTTAGTCACGCGACCGAAGATTATGTTTTCGACGATTCGAAGTTCAAGACGAGGCTTCTCCTGAATTCTTCCTCACCTGACAATGGAAAGGAGCTTGTTATGGCCGAGGAGTATGCTGGTTTCCTAGGAAGCAGGCATATTTGGTAGGAGGCTGAAGGAAGGGTATTACCCGACATTAATTCTTCGGTCATCTCGCGCCTACTTTGGGATTTGGAACCCTTCACGATAGGATTGAGAGATACACTGTCTTAGCCATACCTGAGGCAGAAGAAAAAGTGTATGTGTCAGTAACTCGCTTCCTAGAGACCAATGAATATGACGTGCGTATATACACTCCAGTGACTAGGAAGATTTGTCGGCGGTATATTGGGTGTCACGAGTGGGCACTTAGTCACGTCTGTAAATACAGAGACGAACTCAAGAAGGAAGGTAAGAAAGTTACTTGGAGTGTGGAGCCTACTGAGTACGAGGGATTTCCAAGTCCTCCTATTCCAGATAGCTTCGCCAATGGTAAGGACTGAGAGCCTATTCTTAATGCCGTTTTGAGAGATAGGAAGTGGAGTAGTGTCAACATTGACGATTCAGGCACTGGATAGGATTAGACGGATCATGGGGGTCGCTAGGGACTAGGCAAATGTCTGGTTACTGTCCGACAGTCACGGCAGCACTAGACGCCTTGGTTCCATTTACCAGTGGAGGAGTCTTTCCCTACAAGATAGAGCGTTGCATATCCCGGGAGGAGAAACATGCCCCTGGGAAGGCGTACGTCCTTGTAGTGAAGTTCTTCGACACTGGTGAGTATGATATCCAACCCTATGTCCCTTCACTAAGGGAGAAGGGGACATATCGTGAATCTCTTCGTAATTGGATCAGTAGTGTAATTGGTCAAGAAAGAAGAGAGTTAGAAAGAAAAGGAGCAAGAGTAGTTAGTAACATAGCACCGATTGTGTTTGACAGGATTCCTGAACCGATTTTGGCGAAAAGTTTTACCGACGGCAGAAACTGGGAACCAATTCTAAACGCAATCATAAGAGAGAAAAGGTCCAGGAAGAAATAAGAGTTTAACCAATAAATCAGACAAGATGGTCAGGGGACCGGACGCAAGGCAGAACCTTGCTAGTTCCTCCGCAGGTGACGGAGAAGTGACCACTA